TTTTCATTACTGATAAGCAAAAGGGTTTAGGGAATGCCCTTCATGCTTTGATGCCCACTGCTGAGCACAGGCATTGTGTGAGGCACTTGCACAATAATTTCAAGCTTGCAGGCCATACTGGTAATGCTTTGAAGCAGAGGTTGTGGGCAGCAGCTAGGGCAACAACAATACCTCTATTTGAAGCTGAAATGGAGCAGATGTTGGGTCAATCTGAGGCATCTTATAAGTGGCTTGAGGAAAGACCAGCTGCTTATTGGAGTAGATCACACTTTAGTACAGTCCCAAAGTGTGATATACTTCTAAACAACTTGTGTGAGTGTTTTAATGCTGCAATCCTAGAAGCAAGGGATAAGCCCATTGTTACTCTTTTGGAGAGAATTAGAACCTACTTGATGCTTAGAATGGCTAGACTTAGAGAGACAGTGTGGCCCCATGAGGTTGGTCCAAGAATATTTGCTATTGTGGAAAAGAATTCAATTGAAAGTGGCCACTGCATAGCTTCGTATGCTGGTGGGGGGAAGTATCAAGTTAATAGTATGTTGGGAGCTATGTTTGTTGTGGATTTAGAAAGGCATATATGCACCTGCAAAATTGAAGTAGATGCCCATGTAGTTGAGTTTGTGGAGCATACACCTACCTCTAGAGTTCAACCTTTATATCTGTCATATAAGTATCAACCACATTTGTCAGAGAGCCAGGCATCTGCATCTGCATCTGCTCCACAGTTGGGGTTGGAAGTAGAAGTTGAAACTGAAATTGATGTTGGTGATTTGGGTGCACTTTACAAAAGGCCGGCATATGATAGGGCTTATGAGGGCTATATATCTCCAATGCCTAGTCAATCATATTGGAGAAAAATAGGACATGTACCTATCAAGCCACCTCTTTATCACATCCAACCAGGAAGGCCCAAACTTAGGAGAAATAAAGAACCTGATGAAATACCAAGAGGGGCAACAAAACTTAAGAGGTATGGCATTGTAATGACATGCCGCAACTGTGGACAAGAAGGTCACAATTTTGCAACTTGTTCCCAAAATGGACAGGTTAGATTTGTTTTTAATTTTTTTGTTTCCACATTTCATTTGCTGGAAATGGCTATGTTAACATGTGAATTGGAGTGTTTTTACTATCCTCTGGATTTTGTGCATGCACTTTACAAAAGGCCGGCATATGATAGGGCTTATGAGGGCTATATATCTCCAATGCCTAGTCAATCATATTGGAGAAAAATAGGACATGTACCTATCAAGCCACCTCTTTATCACATCCAACCAGGAAGGCCCAAACTTAGGAGAAATAAAGAACCTGATGAAATACCAAGAGGGGCAACAAAACTTAAGAGGTATGGCATTGTAATGACATGCCGCAACTGTGGACAAGAAGGTCACAATTTTGCAACTTGTTCCCAAAATGGACAGGTTAGATTTGTTTTTAATTTTTTTGTTTCCACATTTCATTTGCTGGAAATGGCTATGTTAACATGTGAATTGGAGTGTTTTTGCTATGTTCACATGTCATTTTTTGTTATTGGCAATGAAGGGGCAACCTAGAGGTGCTAGAGCAAGAGTCAACAGGAGGGGAAGAGGTGCAAGGGCAAGAGGAGCTGCAACTGGAGGTATTGATACTGTTAGTGCTAATGCAAGTGGAACAACAACTGCAAGCGCAACAGTTGGTGTTAGGGGAAGAGGTGTTGTGAGAGACAGAGGTGTTGTGAGTGAACAACAACAAACTCAGGCCAGACCAAAGTTTAATGTAAGTACTTGGATTAAACCTTGATGTTTTGAATCAATACTTGCTTTATTGTGGTGTGTTTTGAAGGCTTAAGGGTCGTATGCTTGAAATAGGTGAAAAGAGGAGCCCATGCCCCCCATGTCATAAGGAAGACCAATCTATTTGCTGGTTGGCAACCTGGCCAAGGTTCAAGTTCCCAACCTCCTTCACAACCTACCCAAAGTTCACAAGCTCCTTCACAACCTGCCCAAAGTTTACAAGCTCATCAAGTTTCAAGTTCACAACCTCAACCAATGGTAACTTCTCCAAAAAGGCCTAGGTTAAAATCTCCAGCAAAACGAATAAGGCCATGGAGAGTTTAGTGACATATTTGAAGTGAATGGTTGAAGAATTGTGATGTTTATTTTGGTTTGCAATCTATTTGCTGGTATATTTTGAACTGATTTTGTACAAGCTAACTTGTAATGGTTAGTGATGAAGATGTATTTTTGAAACTGAATTTGGA